AAAAAAAAACAAATGAACTAAAAAACAAAACAGAAACACAGAAAAAGAAAACAAACTTATGGTGGCGAGGGGGGGGGGGGGGGGGGGGAGGGATAGTGTTGAGGGATTATTATTAAGATTTAGGATTTTGCCCCTGGTGAAGGTTCAGAAGCCACTTGCTTAGGCAGAGAGCTTGTTCAGCCCCGCCCTGTCTCTCAGCAGCCGCTGAATATCACTGCCTCCCTAAGCCCTGCCTCTCTCCAGTTCCTTCCAGAGATCAAGCTGTCTTTCTAGGGCCAAAGTCTGAGAAACAGCACTTCAGTTTCCCAAGCACCAGCCAACAGCCTCCTCTGATTTAGAAAGCAGCTGAGAAAGAGAGAGGAAAAGCTGGGCACGGGGGCTTCCCTGGTGGCGCAGTGGTTGGGAGTCCGCCTGCCGACGCAGGGGACGTTGGTTCGTGCCCGCTGAGCCTGCGCATCCGGAGCCTGTGCTCTGCAACAGGAGAGGCCGCAACAGTGAGAGGCCCGCATACCACAAAAAAAATTTAAAAAGCTGGGCGTGGCCACGGAGGTTTGTGGGTTGCTTTATTTCTTTTTTTCTTTTTTGTTTTTTTAATTAGTTTATTTTTGGCCACACTGGGTCTAAGTTGCTGCGTGCGGGCTTTCTCTAGTTGCGGCGAGCGGGGGCTACTCTTCGCTGCGGTGCGCGGGCTTCTCATTGCGGCGGCTTCCCTTGTTGTGGAGCACGGGCTCTAAGTGCACGGGCTCAGTTGTTGTGGCTCGCGGGCTCTAGAGCGCAGGCTCAGTAGCTGTGGCGCATGGGCCTAGTTGCTCCGCAGCATGTGGGATCTTCCCAGACCAGAGCTGGAACCCGTGTCCCCTGCATCGGCAGGCGGATTCTTAACCACTGCACCACCAGGGAAGCCCCTATGTCTTTTTTCTTAAGCCAAGTCCTGGCTCTGTCCTTTGGTAAATTCTGGCCCAAGCCAGTGTGGGGAAGAAGAGAACTGGGGGGGGCCCGCCTCCCCAAGAGCTCGCCTTCAAGTCCCTTCTTGAGTTAAAGAACGGAGCCCAAATGCCAAACTTGGACACTCAGGAGAGATCTGGAGGTCCCAGCTGTCTCTGCCCGCAACTAAACAATGAGCATCCTGGGTTTGGTACCCAGAAAAATGGGGCTCCGGGAGAGTTAAGGAAGCAACAGCCGGGGCGGACGCTGGGGCCCAGGTAGGGAGGTGGACCAGTCCTCCCCAGTGAGGAATGACATAGCGGTTCTGGATGGTTTTCTCTGCAAACCAGAACCCCGGCAGCAAGATGCTGAAAGACACTCCGCCTGTCAACACATGGGCCGCACACGCTCTCACACACAGCAGAGAAATGACACAGCACGAGGGCGATGCATGAATACAAAGAGAGAAACACACACACACGGCGACACCAGATGGAGAAGGCAGCCGGGCTGGGTCTGGGTGTTCATGATCTGCTCACCCACGGAGAGGGGCTGGTGGAGTTGCATAACGCAAGCTGCAAAAGGGGCAGGTTGGACTTGCTAACCACCACCCACCTTGAGGGGGATCCAGGAGGCAGTGCCTCCTTCTCAGGGTGGCATCTGCATCCACCCCCTACTCTCAGAGGCAGCAGGAGTTTATCAGCTGCCCCAGCCCTGGGGTGACCCCGGGAAGTCGCTAAAAGGAAAACAAGGGAGTGTCACTTTGTTATAGTGGCAGATGGGGGCTCACTCCTTGTGCGAAGGAATTTTGAGGATGCTGGCAGCAAGGGCTGCCAGGGTAGAGAGGAGACTGGGGCTCGGGCTGGGGGACAGGAAAAGAGATGGAGGGATTCTCTTCCATCCCTCCCCCCCGACCCCACCCACAAACCACAGATCACCTGCCCCCCCCAGACACGTAAGACACGCTTCCACAGCTGCCCGCTGTGCACATGCCACAGGTGCACACACCTCACCTGGGCCACAGCATCTCCAGCTGGCCTCCCTATGGGTCTTTGGTATCCCATTTACTTCTCTGAGCCTGGGGGAGCTGGTGGGAGTTGCAAAAATCACTAGATTATAAACTTTTTAAAACTAGAGTATGAACTTAAAAGCTCATGCTCAAGAGTGGAGCAGATTTGAGTTCAAATCCTCCCTTCACCATCATTCTCCACGTGACCTTGGACAAGTCACTGAACCTGCCCAAGTTTCAGTCTTCTCGTCGGTTGAAGGGTTACTGTGAAAATCAAAGGAGAAAAAATATTAAGAATGTACGTGCTCAGCAAGTGCCCACTGTCTTTAGTCTTTGGGGCTTTTTCTCCTTCATTCCACAAATATTAGTTGAGCACCAGCTGTGTGTTTATCTAACAGCCCATGCTTCCTGATGTTTCTCCGTTAGGGTTTCAGACAGTCTGTGGTACACAAGTGCTCTCCAGAGTTTGGTGTGGACCCATGTCTTTGGTATTTATTATACCAATTTTGGCTTATCACAGTATGGAATGTGGCCAAGTCTGTCCTTTTGAACCTGGATTGTCGATAATTACAAAAATGGTCCTAAAGTCCAGTTGACATCCCTCATCGGTGGTTGCATAGAAGGTGGCGTCATTCCCTGTCCCGTGGGTTTGTTGTGGGCGGGCTTTGGGAACAGCCAGAACGGAGAGCCCAGTGATCTCTGTTGGCCAAGCTCCTGACCCGAGGATGGAAAACTCTGCAAAACTCGGAGAGCCAAAGGCTGCGTGACAGGTTGGAGTGGTGACTTCTTGCGGTGGGAAAGAGATAAGAGAGGTCTTCTGGTTCTTGCCATTTGATTTCTGGGGCTGACTGTCAGTGGTTTCCCCCAAGGAGCCCCTCGGTCTCACAGGGCTTCGATCCTGAGGGTGAAACCATGCAACATGCAGCTGCCTACAAAGGTATGCCCCTCGAGGAAGGATTTCATTTCTAGGTTGGCTTCAGAACTCCAGAGCATCTTTGGCTAGACTTCTCGGTTGGCTGCGTTTCCATGTTAGTTTTAAAGGCGGTGTTGGACACTCCACACGCATCTCTCTTTTTTAATTCTTTTCTTCCCCTCCCTTTTTCCTTCTCTTGACCTCAGGAGGCCCCAGATTGGATCTGTGTCTGACGGGATGGCGATGCCCAGAGGATAGTCCCCGCTAGCATGCATCACCTCTAGACACATCCACCAGACACGTTTGCTCCCCGGTCTGCCTGACCTGTTGCTTAGGGACACGTCCCGCTGCTTCCCCTGACGTCTGCCTGATCAACCATCGCTTCCTTAGAGAATAAGGAAGGAGGCAGACACAGGAAATCATGCCACCGACGGCCCAACGACAATGAGTGAGTGACGCTGAGTTGACGTCAAAGGCAGAGAAAACCAAGACCGAGAGCAGCTTGCTCTCCAGGCTCTCCTTGGCCCCTGCAGCGCCGGCCCCCCGCTCCTCCTCTCGTCACAGCCAGAAGCCTGGCCGCTCCCGGCGACATCGTCTCGGCTTGACACATTTTGAGGTCTTCCGACCCTTGGACACTAGACACCATGGAGAATCACATGTTCAGCGTTAAGCAGATCCAACCCAATGTCATTTCTGTCCGCCTCTTCAAGCGCAAAGTGGGGGGCCTGGGGTTCCTGGTGAAGGAGAGGGTGAGCAAGCCACCTGTGATCATCTCCGACCTGATTCGAGGGGGCGCCGCGGAGCAGAGTGGCCTCATCCAGGCCGGGGACATCATTCTTGCCGTCAACGGCCAGCCCTTGGTGGACCTGAGCTATGACAGCGCCCTGGAGGTGCTCCGAGGTATTGCCTCCGAGACCCATGTGGTCCTCATTCTGAGGGGTCCCGAGGGCTTCACCACGCACCTGGAGACCACTTTCACTGGGGACGGGACCCCCAAGACCATCCGGGTGACACGGCCCCTGGGTCCGCCAACCACAGCCGTCGATCTGTCCCACCAGTCATCAGCCAGCAAAGAGCAGACCCTGGCAGTGGACGGGGCCACGGATCCTGGCAGTGGGCCGCAGCACGTGCCAGACCAGGGGCAGGAAGCTGGCTTGCTCTCCCACGCCAATGGCCTGGCTCCCAGGCCCCCAAGCCAGGACCCTGCCAAGAAAAGTTCTGGGGAGAGCAATAAACTGCTCAAAGAGATACAGCCTGTGCTGAATCTCCTCACCAGTGGGGGCGAAGGGATCAATGGAGGGGGACCTGCCAAAGCGGAGACAAAGGACGCAGAAATCCAGGTGGACAGGTAAGCCCCACAGGTACATGTGTGTGTACGTGTGTTGTACGCGAGCATGTACTGCGACTGTCTCACAGCCCGGAAGCTAACCTGCGTGTCTCAGTCTTCTGCACACGCACCTCCACTCAACCACACTTGCCTCTTGTCCTGAAAATTGCTGTTGCAGGA